AGAGAATGAAGCAAGGAGTGTGTTTAACATGCGGATGACATCAAGCTGGGACGGGTTACAAGCATTTTGGAGGGCAGGATTAGAATTCAAAATGGCCTTAAATTGGTCTGAAGACACAAAAAGATTAAATCTAATCAAGACTCAAAGTACTTCACTGAAGGAAATATCAAATGCATAACTTGAAAATGGGGAATAACTGGAAAGGCAGAAGTACCACAGAAAAGGATCTTGAGGATCACAAATTGTTAGTTCATGTTCAATGTGGTACTGTTGCACAAAAAGGCTAATATTCTAGGCTGTATTCACAGGAGTGTCAGGTACTGTAATTATTCTGCTCTACTTGGCACTGGTATAGCCTTGGCTGGAGAACTGTGGCCAATTTTGGGTGCCATGCTTAAACTGGAGAATCCTGAGGAAAAAAACAAGTTATCAATGGTTTAGAAAACCTAACCAGAAGAAAGGGTTTAAAAAGACTGGAATGTTTAGTCTTGAGCAAAGACTTGGGGGTGGGTGGGACAACTTGATAACAGTCTTCAAATATGCTAAGGGCTGTTATAAAGAGGATGGTCATCAATTACGCTCCATGTCTCTGAAGTTAGGACAAGAGTAATATCATTAACTTGCAGCAAAGGAGATTGATGTTCGATACTAGGAACAACTTCCTAACACTAAGGACAGTTAAAACAGTGGAATAGGCTTCTAAGGGAGCTGTGGATTTTTTTTAAAAAAAAAACGGCTGGATAAATGTCAAAGGTGGACTTGGTTTACTTAAGCCATGTCTCCACTTGCCACGCCGGAGATCAATCTTCTGGCATTCAATTTAGCAGGTCTAGTAAGGATCCACTATATCAAACTCTGCTTGCACCCCCAATTGACATTGGTACTCCTCAATTCATGAGGAGTAAGGGAAGCAGATGGACATTTGCTCCCATTGACCTTCTGCTGTGGAGATGTGGCGCCAAGCTCAGCTCAAGATATGTCAACTCCAGCGATGTTATTTACATAGCTGGGCATAACCTTAAACTGACCTTCTGGATCTAGTATAGACCTGGCCTTCATCCTGCTTCCATGCAGGGGATTGAACTAGAAGATGACCTTGTGGTCTGTGTTGTACCTCTATATTTCAATGGTCTGCTGTTTTATAGAGTGGGTACAATGCGAATTCCTCCTGAGGGTGCGATAGAACTTTATTTTTGTAAACTATCAAGCAGGTTAAATTTATGTGCTGAGGTTTTCTGCAAAAATGTCCAGCTATTTCACTGCATAAATGTACTTACTGTCAGCCTTTGGACTATTTACTAGCAGAAAGTGTCTTCCAAAAAGAATGGGGCTTGCTTGCCATCTGTCTATAAACCAGTTTGTAGTGACTCTTCCCCAACTAGGATTACAAAATCTAGATTGTGGCATCAATATAGACTTGGCTGTGAGTTGTCAGTCTCCTTTATATACTAGTTCAGTGTGTGGAAAGCCTAAAACCAGTCTGTTGTACTGGGAAGGAATGTATTTAATTGGCTAATGTGACTTCAAATGACCCATTTTATTTCAGCTTGGCATCTTGATTTTTTTTCTGAGCTCCTCCAGACATGGCTTCCTATGCCCAAGTCCAGTGGCTGGGGCTGGGTGTGGGGTTGTTTTGTTTCTTAAAATAGTGGGTAGATGCACTGATCTGAAGTGAATCCTGCCTGAGACAGTTGCCGGTTTTTCCTATATGCCCTGCTTCTAACATCATCTGCTTGTGCTACTCTGGGTCCCTGTGGGCTTATTGCAAACACATGTATTTGTATGAAACTTGAGTAAGTTTTGCTAACATTTTACCATTTGTTCATACAGCTGAGCTGCCTTCCCACAGCCTATCTCTGTATCCACCTTTGACAACCATGCTTTGTTTGCGTGTGGCCTCCTGGATAGGCAAGTGCTTCTTTCATGCTAGCGTGTATGCTGCAGCTTACAACTTCAGGGGAAATCCAGCATTGCTTCCCCAAGCTATGCAAGTGGCACTGAGTGTCTAACAATGTCAGACTTCTCTTGGTGCCATGGCCAATGTCCACCACAGATGCTTGGAATGGGAAGCTTTTTCTTCTGTTTGCTATTCTGATACAGAAAGGTTCAAGGACAGCAGTGAGGGAGGGGCTGACCTGGATTCATCACTGAAACAATGCTGCTGACTGAAATATTGCTTCAGGGAACAAAGCAAGTCTTGCAAAATGTCCCAGTACTAAGGGAAGCCTAGAACTAAGGGAAGCATCCAGACATAATGTTTATCACCATTTTGATCTGTAATGGAATGTAAGGCTGGTTGCTTATTTCCCTTTAAATTAGCAAGTAGCTAATGCTCTTTAATATAACTGCAGCGCACTCCCTGTTTTTTTTTTGTGGGGGGGGAGGGAGAAATACCTGTGTGAGCAAGCATGGTGGGAGGACAGAAGGGTAACTTTTTTTATTATTTTTTGGACCACTCTTGCAGCCTGGACCCTGTTGTCAGCATCTTTCCCTCCTGTTTACATCAGCCTAATTTTTGAGGGGACAAAGGGCCAGTGGGGTGAGGACAGGAGTCTCATAATATTGCTGTTTTGATATCAGTACACTAGTGTAAGTGGTGAAGTAAAGCTAGAGGATGAACTAATGTTGCCCTTAGGGAAGCAGGAGATGTATGAATTGCTACTCGAAAGACAGCCCCAGAAAAACTAAAAGCAATATTGCATTTGATCATTCGTTAGATAAGCCATTACATTCCTTTCCACCCCACCTATGTGAAATCTCCCAATTCAGCAACTAGTAGCAGTGGAAGAAGTTAGCTTGGCATATAGATGTGGCTTCTCTACGATTGCTTGTTAGTCTATCGGAAGGCTGACTGCAGAATTTTGCTACGGGGTAGCTGGGGTTTTGTTTATGCATTACAGCCTTATTAGGATAGTGGAACATTAACCGCAGTCTAGGTGCACACTCAAATTCTTTCATTGTTTAATTTATTGCTTGCTTACAGCAGGGGCCCCTGTAATCCCTGCCCTGTGGCTATCAGCCAAGCCCCTATTCCAACTATTTAGTCATTCCAGCCTTCCCCTTTCA